ATAGGCATCCTGATTTGAATCTGATAGGATACTGATTTGAAAATATTGGACAATATTATCATTTGCCGATTTCTTCTGGATTTTAGCGCAAATCAGCCTAAAATAGACTTCAATCAGAAACGCCTATTTGAGCTAATTTATTAATTCGAATGCTGATTAGACAAATAAACTGCAAATTACTGGCTGAACAATTTTTATTAAATAGTATTTTAGCTGATTACAAATTATTGACCAATCAGCAATATAAATAAGCTAATCATTTAAACTATTTAACTTTTAATACTGTAATATCGATATAAGAAACTATTTCGTATATATCAATATTAAATTATAAAGTTGATTTTACAGTTATTTTTTTCGGCATGATTGGTATATAAAAAATATATTTTTAATTCAACCAATTTTTATTTACTGTAGTATTGATGTAATATCTATGGCATAAATTAAATTACATTGTTGGTTCAAAAATTACCATAATAAATATAATTTATTATAATGTCTATATTATGTATTAAAATTTCGGTTAAACACTTGCCCAATATACTTGGTAAGTTTAATTTGTGCGAAAGTTTATAGGAAAAATTGTTCTTGTTAACTATTAAAACTTGACAAGAAATATAAAAAAGGCACCGGATATAAAATTAGCTTTTATAAGCTAATATTAAAAGGTTAAATATGATTAAGAGTTCGTTGACTGGACTAAAAATTCAACTAAAGTCAAGATTCCAAAAAAAATCAAGACTTTATTAATATTTATCAAAAATACGTTAAAAATTATGATCAATAAAATCAAAGCGAAACAGTAGATCTAACAATTAAAAATTCTCTAGAAGCTTTATCTATGACAAAATACTTTTGAGTATTAATACGAAAGAGCCTTTTATAAAATTGGTAAAGGTTTATAAAATAAAAATATGCATAAATATATGAAATATTACCTTTTTAACCAAAGTTCTATCTTGAATTGTAATTAAAACAAGTACCAAAAAGGTTTTTCTTTCATTAAAACTTTCACATCTTAATCAAACTATTTTAAAAGAACGTGGCTTTCTTGAAAGTGATAGAAGTTTTTCAATACAATCATCTTTGAAAGTGTACAAGAACCCGACTTATAGAAGACATTGATAGGCCTTCTAATTTTTTTTCAATAATTTGCTAGCAAATGTAGTTTGAAAGTAGAAATATTATCTGGTTCAGTCTTAGACCAATAAACTGCAGTCCATCATAGAACCGGTCTGAACCTATGAGAAGCTGATCCTATTCGGTTTAGTCTCAGTCTTAAAATAGTCCAAACTGTAGTCTTAAGTTGGTTTTAGGACTAACCACAAACCATGACTTAGAGACTAGTTTAAAAACTGACTTAAAAACTGGTCTAAAAATCAGTTCAAAGATCAGTATAAATATTGATCTAAGGACCGATCTAAAGATTGGTCTAAAGACCGGTCTAAAGATTGGTCTAAAGACTGATCTAAAGATTGGTCTAAAGACCGATCTAAAGATTGGTCTAAAGACTGATCTAAAGATTGGTCTAAAGACTGATCTAAAGATTGGTCTAAAGGCTGGTCTAAAGATTAATAGTCTAAAGGCTAGTCTTAAAATTGACCTAAAAACTGGTCTAAAGACTAATCTAAAGACTTATATAAAGACTAGTTTAAAGATTAATTTAAAGACCAGTCTAAACACCGATCTAAAAACTAATCAAAGACTAATCTAAAAACCAATATAACAACTGACCTAAAGACCAATCTAAAGACTGGCCTTAATGACCAATCTAAAGACTGGTCTAAATAATATCTAAAGACTGGTCTAAGATTTAAATTAACGGCTAAAGCTTAGAAATAAAGAAATATAGTATATGCTATATTACTATTTTGATAAATTACAGAAGAAAGGTTTAATATAGTTCTATTTTGATAAATTACAGAAGAAAGGTTTAATATAGATTCTCTCTCTCTCTCTTATCTGTATTTATATATTTATAAATATTTAATATATTTAATTTATTTGATTTTTACAAAATTTATGTTATAATACTTCTGCTCAATAATTTATTAATATCATTAATATATTTTAATATTAGGATTATTCGATTCTAATTTAAAACCAGTATTATTCAAACTAATAACTAAATCTTTCAGCGTAGAGTTTTTACAGAGTACATCAGCTAATACCCTAAGATTATTACTATAGAGAGATAACTCTGTTAAGGATGTGTTATTGCAAAGTGCATCAGCTAATGCTTTTCCTGCTTCGGATCCAAGTTT